GACTATATTATTCTAAATTATTTCTTATATAAGATCAAAATAAGAAACTTAAATAAATACAGTTATAATAAAGAATTATAGATCTTAAAATATATTCTATTTAATTATAAAAAGTTTTAAAAATTCTAGTTTGAGTTTTAGTAGAGATTCAGAAAGCAGAGAATAGCAGTTAACTAAAATAATTTTAATATATTAATAAATAAGTTAGCTGCAGCTCACTACATTACTGTCATAGAACAACCTAGGGGAGTTGCTACAGACAAGGCCAAAAAGACCATCATTACCCGCAGCTACCTGCGGACCCCTAGAATCCTGCTTATATAGACATGTACACACGGGAGTAGGTTGTCGCTACCACCAATCTATTACAATTACTAACTTTATAATTAAAATAAAACTCTTGAACTAATTTAACAAGGTTCTATTAATTACTGAATAAAAAGATATTGAAGAAAAATACTGGATATATAAATTATATAAATTATATATAAATATTATTTTATGATACAGGCTATAATACAGGTATAAGATTATAAGAAAGATTTATAATAACTTACAGAGATTAGGCAAGATTTGAGTAAGTATAAATTTATATAAATATTATATAAAAAGTATAAAATAAAGCTAGATATAGCTTTATAAAGAACTAAGAGAAACAGCAGAATAAAGTAAGATATAACTTTTTAATAAGGCTTCTTGAATATATAATATCTTGGTAATAATATCAGGACCTGAAGTAAGTAATACAGGGTTAATACTATATTTTATATTATTTTTATATTTTATATATACATGAATAGCCTTTCTAGGGGCATAGGGAACACCTGCACAGCAAGGCTACTAGTATGGCCAGCTATATCAGGTCAATGAATTCTACTACTACTACTACTACTACTATTTATATTAGTCTTCTAGAAACTATAAATTTAAAATAATATTTAATTTTATAAGACTACACTTACTGATTATAACTAATTTTATTATATTTAATTAATCTTCGCTATTTTATATACAGATAATAGTAGTTATTATAAAAGTATAAAAATCTTTATAATTAATCTCTATATTAGATAAGTCCAGAAAATATATCTAAATATTAAAACAGATTTAACTATATATACAACTGAATTAAAGAATATTAAGATAATTCTTATCTTTATAAAAGATATCTTACTAAGATACAATCCTGATAAGATCTATATTTTTATTAATAATTAATTTATAATCCAGATAGTAGAAGCCCCTGGCTGTTTATCTAGACAGCTATATATAAAAACTATCTATAATAAATTCAGAGCTCTAGATAATACTAATTTTAATTTTATAATTTACTAAATCCCTGCACACATAGAGATTAAGAGAAATAAGATTATAAATTTTAAAATAAAATAAATAGTAAAATACAGGGCCAGGCTAGATTAACAGATAATCTAGCTTATATGTACTATTAAAAAAACTATTTATAATAAGTTCTAGAAAAAATAAACTAAATAATAAAAAATAAAATACATGGCAGTACTAATACAGAGACTAATAAAAATCTTTTTTAAGAAGAAGATACTGATGCTCTATAAAATATTTTTAAAATATATATATTTATAATTATATAAATATATATATATAAAAATAGATTAATATACTTCTTTTACAAGATTAAAATATAGAAGAGTAACTGATGTAGCTGTAAAAAAAAATTCTAGATCTTTAAATATATATTTTTAATATACTCTTACTTTATAGAACTATGTAATCAGATACTTAATAAAATTATTATATAAAAATCTACTCTAAGAGATAAGATTACTAATTATAATTCTATTATCTTAGACTTACAGATAATCTACTATATTACTAAATTTATATTATAAACAGACTTGCTCGGGCAGTTTAATTAAATTAAATTTAATTTTAATTTTAATCTTAATCTAGATTAGAAATATATAGACTTCAGGACTATAGAAATAGATATTAAAAATACTAAATAAAAAAATTAAATATATTCTATAAGAGTTAGCAGGGAAGATATATATATTAAAAAGAATATATATATTAGAAACAAAAATATAAATAAAAAATAAAAAAGATTAGTTTATAAGTAGCTGGCCAGGCAGCTGGCTAGTTAACTATAATATTTATTTATATTTATTTTTATATAACTACACTTTACTTTTATATATATTAAATTATATTTAACTACAGTAATGACCTTCCTATACCGCAGCGCGTGTTGCTTCATGTTTTACTATAAGTTTTAAGGATTTTAAGCATTTAAAGCCATATTTAATACTTTAAACGGTGAAGCACCTGCATAGCTAGCATCTTACTTAGCGGGCTCGATCAGGTATAAGAATATGAATTGAATTGAATTGAATAGACTGTCTACACTGGTGGCGAATAGACACACGCTCACTTAAAGTTTCGCTCACCGAGCTTTATAGGAGTGACGTTATGGTATGAGAGACCTGCCGGTTTATGGTACTGATCAAATATAATATGGCGGTAGATTTCTTTAGTCTAGCGAATCAGATCACAATATGAGGTTATGGCGATGGGATGCCGATCTCCAATATAAACACGCAGGTCTGGTCACAGTCTATGACTGGATTACCATATACCGGTTCCCTATTTTTCATGATTCGTGTGAGCGAACGATTCGTACTTTGCATGACTCAGGAGCAATGGTAGTACGCTATATCATGCTTCACAATTTGGAATTTGGGACCGAGGCGAACCACTATCTGCTGACACGGGACATTATGCGCGGTCTAGACAAGCTTAGTCTATATCGATCACCAGGGTATTCTATCGGTAATATAATCTATACACACCTACCCACACTTCAATCCCGATCCGAAGGAAGTGAATTGATTACGAATGGTCGCCATACCGGGCTTGAATAATCAATAGATTGTGACGATATTTTGCAGTTTTGCAGAGACAATAGAAGTTTCCGGCAAAGTGGAAGCGGTAATTTGTGATAAAAGATCAAGCCTGAGAAGCTGTGCAACATGCACTATGTGTCAAGGTATGTAACCGCCGCCTTCCTTTGTTCCGGGATCTACATGTTCCGCCCGGAATAGTTCGGTCATATTGCGGCTGAGTATACACACCTCAAGAAATCTTAAGACATATTAATCTGTTATACAGATTCCGTAGCTCCTTTCAGCCGAACGTCGATCATCACATAGGCTATGCCTAATTTGTAAGGAGAAACCAATACCCTCCGGGATACTGGGTTAAAATCTACTCTGTATACCTGGGGTTAACTAAACCTCTTATGCTAAAATGATTTATAGCAGACTAGGATGTTCCTATCAGAGACCTTACATCTGTCTCGATTATTGTAAATTAAAAAGGACTGAGTTATTTTTCAGACTGATGAAATCTTAGCAGATTATTATAATAAGAACAATCTACTTAGATTATCTCAAAAAGATTTGTTGCCTGCAGGAAGGTCCCGGCTCACCAAAGAGTGGGAGAAAGTGATGGTGGAGTCACTGGCCTTCCTACGCAATATGCAAGATGTTAAGTTGTAGAGTTGTAAACCTTTCATTTATCAACTCACGATTGCTAATAGTTTAGGCTACTCTACATTCTGGTTTAGTCAGTTCAATTCAATGGTTTTTTTTTTTAGTATATATGCGTAACCGATTGATACGTGTCAATTTTCCATCCAATTAGGTTTGGATTTGTAGAAGTAATCGAAACTTCTTGCCTATAGAGTGCAGCTTTTGAATATATAGTATCATATAACGGTAGCTGATGTTACGCAATAGTAGTCTTCATGCTTATATTGACTCCCAGAGGCCCTAACCAGAATAAGATTGAAATTTCATAGTAAAATGCACGTTTTGATGTTTTCTGAGAACATTGTTAATGTTTAATTAATGATGTTACTCTGTTGGCTGTACAATGACTCGGCTTGATGTGCGGATATGATATAGGCAGTCTATCCTTCAACCTACTTACTTTCACCACTGAACCTTACTTTTGATCCACCGCTTATAGCACGATGTCCTTATCCTTACTTCTATAACGATCTCGTATGTATTGCCTACATACCCGTACTATCTTGGAATAGAGGTAATGACTGGTCATTTTAGTTTATACTAACTGTGTACCACAACCTGCCTAGAGTAGAGCTTTATTATAAGGATATCGAATCTGATATCATATGAGTAGCCGTTATTGAATGTGAGAGGGTTTTGCTTAGGAAACATGTTCCTCTTTATCCTATATATATTGTACAGTACTCAGCAACCACATCAAGTATAATCTCCATAAAAGGTTCACCAGGAACCATGACTTAAACTATTACCTGGCTTGTTTTCTATTCAGTATTAATACTTGTTCCGTGACCCATATACCCCTGCATGATGCCAGAAAACTTTAACACTGAAAGTCAACAACAAGCCTAAACTCAAGAATAATTAGCCTCTCTGCTCAATTACTTCTTGAATCTTTTATAAATATTCTTACTATAATGTTAGAAAGTATACAAAAATTCTAATCAACTCGCTTGCTCTTCTAGATGAAGAAGTGTATCCCTCAAGCTACACAAAACTAGTATAATGGAATGCTACCTCTCCAATACATTCCCTGCCTGAGATATCACTTATGTTACATACATCAGGATAAGTTTATCAAGAGCTTCCATGTTCTAGACTAGGCTGCTGTTATAATACACTATCCACCCTTAAAATCAATATATATATCCCCTTATGAATGAGTATGCCATGTGGGATGCAATACTAGAGGCATCTCAGGTACCAGAATATCCATATTAGGGGATCTTTTGTATAGATATTAGCCTTAGACTAAGATTCTTCACAGTCTACTTTATTTTTTTTTTTTTTAAAAAAAAAAGACGCCTGGCGCATATGGCCATAAACATGACTGTGACGACATATTGACCAGTATTCATGGAAGCTTTACGTGGTGTTAGATGCTATGTCGCTATTGCAAGAAGACACCTCACCCTTTACTTGTCGAGAACACAGTTAAAACGAAATGAGGCCATACTGTTATGGATCTGAGATGAGCAGGCGACATCACTTTCCAGTTTTACATAAGGCACTGTTATATGATTTCAATCGAGAAATACATGGGCTTGTTTCTCGATAGATAGATAATCACAAACAGTATTATTTGTGGTTATGACCATGGCGATTCTCTTGCATATCTGGCCTGCCATTGATCCAATCGGAGTGCAACGCCACTCCAGCCCCCGTGGTAACATTGTCCAGGCCTTCTTTCTGTTCCAGTACCGCCCTCAGACAGTGCTCAATATGCCCCACATTGTTATATCTCCTCTCAATTGTTGTTCCCAGCTCTTGCGACAAGAACATTTTCTTCCAGTAATACATACAATGCACCAAATGCCACCTGTGGGTCGTGTAAAAGACATTTTGTGCCTCTCCACCCCCTGCTCTAGTATCAGGAAGCATAGACACCTCTTTCAGTGAAAGCGGTCGCGTCATGTTCACATCAGCAAAGTAAGGCCAGCTTCCATCCGGATTTGACCCCACCTTTTCAAAAGCCGAGGTGAGTTCGTCGTTCCGACACGCTGGCGGAAGCCACGCTGCAGCTAAAGAATCATATTTGCAGTCGTTTGAAAGAGCCTCTGTGATGGTGTCTCCGCAATTACAAGATATATCTGGCTCGGGTTGTGTATTTGCGTGGATGTGGATGTGGTTGGTAGTGTAAATCCTATTGTATGCTTGGTAACAGAGATCAATGACCCCAAAGGTGGCAAGAAGAAGGAGAATAATTGTAGATATGCCTTCGACCTTCAGATACCGAAACCTTGGCTTAGTCCTATCCTTCACAATAGGCAGTGACTCAGAACTGGAGCGCTGGGCAATTTGCGCGTACATCATGTGGTTATTCGGGGAATCACAATGAAAAGGCATATAGCCAGGTTGAAGAAGGGAATATGGAAATAATATTATGGCGAGCTTACTTCTCTGGTCGGTGTCTCTTCATGAAGAGTATATATAGTAGATACAAAATCCCAACAGATATATACATTGCAGATCCTGCACTCTCTAGGATATATGGCGACGTGTACATGCACGCACACCATTGGATGCGTCTCATGGTTATAACCACATGATGACTCAAATTCAAGATGATCTACAGTTGAGGTGCCCTGCCTGGGCCCCGCCTGTACTCCTCGGTCAGTATGTATTGGCCTCCTCTCAGATCGTGGAACCGACCTCTATCTGCAGCTTGCGGGAGCAAATCCATAATTCTTTTCCATTGCGACTACTCGGTGATACTCGGGCGAAGGAAGTCGAGACTGCCGGTAGCCCGGGCCTTTGCTTTTGCTGTTTAGATGCCACATCGATAGTCCGTCTAGGTGGGAAGAAGGCCGATCACCAGTACAGGTAAATAGGACAAACCAGTATACTAATACATAATGTCACATTTTCCGGCATTCACCGATGCAAAAAGGATACCAGCGGTGATACTGTTGAGTAGATCCTCTGCATTGGTAGTTCTGCTTTACCAACCATCTAACTGCTCTCTTTCCCCTTGGTATTAGGGATGTTGGAGAGGCCCAGCTGCTTGAGACATAGCCATACGGATCACCAAAATGGAGGGATTCCAGATGGTCTGATATAACTTTGAAATTTACATCAAGGTGAGCTCGTATTAGGTGCGGTCTCCCAGGTTTCTGAGTAGTGTCATATCGGTCAAGGCACGAGCCAGATGATCTGTGGGCAGACAAGCGGCTTTTCCTTTTCGGTACTGAGATGACACAGGATTATGTGTTATTCTATTAGGCATGCATGAGCTATCGCTCATTTGAGTCTAAGCAAATGGACTATTTGTGTGGCAAAAAGCCGGGATTTGGGTGGCCTGTAGATCTTTCCTATTTCATGGTTCTGTGTGGTGAGTGGGCCGGGCATGTGGACCTCCGTAATAGCAATTACTACACATGTTAGCACATTCATGTTCCAGAGGTATAGATCGAAGATCATGCCATTTGCCAATAGCCCTATTAACAAGATCAAACTAGTCGAGCTCGTTGTGACTACTGATAGCCAGCATATCTCTGAGCTACTCCAGGCTGTTAATTGCTTATTCCGAGGAGGTCCAATGTCGCGTCTTAGCCATGGAGCATCATGGGGACGAAAAGGGCAATGAGGGACCCCAAAACAGTTCAGATACATATGCAATTTGTACCTAGTTACATGTCGTCCAGGAGGGTAACGTTGTCTTTTCTGGTCTTCGACAAAATATTGTTGGTTTGGGAGCCCGGATTCAGTTTATGACGCCACATTACTACCGATTATGGAGTCAGGTCAATATGTCCTTGTCGCACGATTGGCGTATTGTCGTAATCCAAATTAGTAGTATAAATGGCGCCATGTATGTATGTTTTTGTGTATTATCACACTTTGCCTCTAAAGACGAACGTGCTTTTTGTGGGGCTGAACGCGGCCGAGAGTATCACCGGCTACCCATAAGATTTTAGCTCATCTTAGTTCTCCTCGGCGGGTGTAAGATCCGGCAGAAACTAGTCCTCACTACTGGACATGCTACTTGCAGGTTAAGTGGAGAGCAATGATTGTCTTCGTTAGATTCAGTTGGCCTGAATTGCTTGTTTTCCTTGATCATGCATGAGGTTGGCACGAATCAGGCAGTTCTTGATCCGTTGGCATTTCGAAGGCGAACCCCTCCCGGGGATCCCCTCTCGTTACCACAGCAGCTTCAGCACCATCAACTCGGTCTTCTTCGCTCATCACGCATCCAAGAGCATTATTGCATACGTAAGGCTCCGGACATGGCGCTTCACCCTGCATTTCGAAATGCCGCGGAGTTCGGGCTATCTCCCGCCTCATGTGAGACCGAGCCCTTTGCCTAGCTATGGGGGGAGAGCTCTCGAATCGTCGACCTGCCTGTTGGATGCTTGAATTTAGTGATATTGCTGTAGGTTGATCAACATGAGCTGAAGGATAGTTGCCTCGCACACATTGACATTGGTTGTCTCACACAAGGCAAAACAGAAAAGGAATATCCCTCTAGACACGAGGTATATAAAACGAGCGATTCCTCTTCAAATCTAATATCTCCATCACGAAATTACACCAGAAGCTCAAATCCTAGTTCCCAAAAAAACTCCAGAAATCAAACGGTTCACTATGAAGACCTCTTTGGCCACTGCAGTTATTCTCTTTACTTCGGTGCTGGCAGCGCCTGTCCCCAAGGTAAGCCCATGCATACTCAAATCTATGTGTAGTGACTGATTATAAAACAAGGGTAACGCCAACAATGAAAATGCCAATGCGAAGGTCGAGATCCCCACTAGTCCCGGCCCCGTGTGCACCGATACCGAGATATGTCCGTATGAGGTCAGTGACAGTCAGTATGCACGCCGCCAGGAGCCTATCCCCGCCCACGCCCAGGGATCTCTGATTGGGGGTGGACTTGGACGGCGTCAGGAGCCTATCCCCGCCCACGCCCAGGGTTCTCTGATCGGAGGTGGACTTGGACGGCGTCAGGAGCCTATTCCCACTGACGCTATCATCTCGCTGGCCGGTGGTGGCCTCAAGCGACGTGGTGATGAGGATGTCCCGGCTGAAGTCTTGGCCTCCCTGCTTGGGCGCCGCCAAGAGCCTATTCCCACTGACGCTATCATCTCGCTGGCCGGTGGTGGCCTCAAGCGACGTGGTGATGAGGATGTCCCGGCTGAAGTCTTGGCCTCCCTGCTTGGGCGCCGCCAGGAGCCTATCCCCACTGATGCCATCATTTCGCTGGCTGGCGGTGGTCTGAAGAGAAGTGAGGAGGATGTTATGGACTCGTACTAAATATGCCATATGGTATTTAGGATGTCGTTGTGCTCCCCAAAACATTCCCCTAGATTTGAAATCTCTTGCTTTTATTCCTTTTTCCGGAGCATTCAACATGTGGAGAAGTGGGAAACAGGAAACTAGGGTGAAGTTAGTAGGGTGCACGAGTGGTGTGTTTTTTTATTGATGCAGTTGATGGCATTGAGTTGTGTGAGCTGAGATAACTAGTGTGCTTTTCATTGATACTAAGGTGTCTCTTTCGCGTTGAGACCTAGCTTGCCTCTGAACTCAGAGAAATAAGGAATGATAGTCGAGTTGGAACATATACTTCACTTATCTGCTGTGGCACAAAAAAGCCATTATTTCCCTTGACATGTATCCCATATGCACACGAAAGTAGCCCCTGTTTCGCTAGACTAAGTCTGCCTTCTGTAGGACATGAAGGGCAGTGACTCGATTGTCGCTCATTCAGCGGCTGTCTGACAGACTGGTGACAAAATGGTTTGTTGATGGTGGTAAGCAAAGCGAGAATCCCAGGACCATTACGATACAATTCGCTACAGTCAACAAACTCACGCTCAGCTCACCACTCTGGTGATCGGAGAGGCATTCACTGCAGCACTACATTCGTAAACATCGACACTATTTCAGTTTTCAATCCATTGGGGTATGTATCATCGAGTGTCCTATGACATTGTTTCGCTTTTGGCGAATGGATGATCCGTGAATTCTGCCCCAATAGCACTCAATCTCCCTGGCTGCCAACTCGCTATTTTGCCTGCAATTGGATTGTCCCTTCGCCAGCAGAGCAGAACCTCTGATAAATATCTAGGTCATATTGTATCATTGGCTTGCAAGCTTTTCGATCAAGAGGGATATATCAGCCGCTTTCTCTTCCATGGGGTAGTGGCCTCCTCCAGAAAGCCATATGCCCTGTGGCGCCCATTCAACTATATGTGCCGGATGGATGCAATCGACGAGGATGTCCTTGTACAGCTTCAAGAGCGGGTCTTGCTCTCCGAACACCACCGCAACGTCTGGGTCATCCTTTCCGAGGCACGCTCTCCAGCTCTGTCAGACCGCTTCCCCGCGCTTTGCCAGTCTGGCCTGTTGACTAAGGTTGTCAAAATGACGCGGTCCGCAGAGACCCTCCAACAATTTCTACATCCGCGTCTGCCGGAGGCCATGTAAGGCAAAGCGCGGTGTAACTGGGACAATGCGCCCGAACCGGAAGACACTGGCCTTGGTGGCTATTGGGAGAGATCGATACGGCGCACTGTATCCATCGATCTCGGGTTGCGACAAATGTGGGGACATGAAACGCATCACTCCTGACTCGGGCATATAGCCGCCAAGGAGGCCCGTCGAAAGAAATCAGATGACATAGATTAAGCTGTAGTGAAGGTTCCAATCGTCCGGACGGGGTGGCAGAAAGGAGTTCAGGAGAAGGAGGCAAGTGCAGGCCATCTGAGGCAGCTGCGGGATTGCGCACAATGCGACGCACCTAGAGACAGTGAGCCATGGACGGAGACAGCAAGAGATACTAGCGGGGTCAACGACGTATCCTCCCCAGTCATGCGCGACGATAGTTGCTTTGCGGAGATTGTGGACCTTGAACAACTGCAAAAGCGTGTGAATATGCAGTTCAAGGTAACCGATTCGGGATGGGTCGGCTTGTCACTGCGACCGTGCCCGAGCCAGTCGAGCGCATAGACTTCATGACCTTGCTCCAGCAGATGAAGAAGGATCTGCTGGGGTCAGTCATATTCTTATCTAAAGATTGATATTTACCATCTATACATTTCTCCAAATAAAGCAATTGCTCGGATTCCCATGCAGGCAGATGATCGGGCGCCTGCAGCCTGCGGGACCGTCGAGTGTTGGTTTCTGATGCATGAAGCGGACAGTGGCTCCACAGATGGCCATCTCCGCCGTGAAATCCGCCCAAGGGATGTCAGGCATCCATCCTGGTCCCTGAGGACGAACTCGATACAAGTTGGACTCGCTGAAGCGATATGTGCCTTGACACTGGGCGATGGCCAGAGACTCACATCGACCCCGGTACTCTTCTGCCTCTCGGATGAGCCTGTTCCTCCCTTGACTGGAGAGCAGGCTGGGGATGTTCCGAACCCCCGTGTGGATGATATTGCCTGACAGCTTCCCCAGATAGATTGGCAAGAGACTGCCAAATAGAATGAGCCGACAAACGGTAAAGGACATAACGAATGTAGCGGCGTAGCCATAGGAGGTCATGAGAATGGTCAGCACTGCCTGTGCCAGGCTGCTGCCGACGTGCAGCGTGAGCAGCGACATGATGAAACAGTAATCATGCACGATCGTTTGTAAAATAAGAATCGGTGTTCATACTATCTGCATCAGACTCATATTTGGGGAAAGGGGCGGGGTGGTTGGTTGGTCGAGGATGACGGAGGACTGACTTCATCCGTGAATGTATGATTCCCTGTTATTATAGCCACGGGGGTCTCCCTCATCAGTACTTATCGTTCATTTTTGACTACGACGAGACTGTGTAGGGTCTTATCCCGGACAACGAGTGGCTGCTCTCTCCAGTCGCTGGACCGGTTGGGAATGCGGAGAATCAGGCCGCGGTCGGCAATCCCTTGAGACAATAAAATATTATGATTCCCTGCTTGTCCAACATACAAACAACAACCATGATCCTTTGCCTTGTTTAACTCCTTAATAAGCCTTATTGGTAATCTTATGCTGACTTGTCGGGCTGCATTGTTTGTTTCTGCTCTGCTTCTCGTTCTTCTCCTACAAACCTACTTTATCTTTTTTTCAAGTTTGTTTATGCCCTTTTGCTTTTTCTATTCGGCGACCGGGCCGCATCTTTAAATCTCACAACAATAAAGTTACAGTTTCAAGCTTACTTTCATAGCCAACTTTATTTCTACTTTCACTCTAATTTAAGCTTCTCTGACTCATCTACCATGTTGTTAGACTGTGCTTTCACGCCGTACCGTTAGACCATACCTTAACCAGTGCCCATCAGTCCTATAACCGACATTACCTCTTAACATCAACAGCAATTAATATTGTCTCCGTTTACTTCTCCACATCGTTGACAGACCCTATCATTTGATCCAAGTCCTCCGCCGCGATCTTAGGTCCCCGTTTGATGGCCTCCATCATCCAGTCACCACGAGGCTTCAGCCGCATCCTCAGCTCCTTGGGCATCGTCATGAACCCCACGACGGTCATGGCCCATGGATCCATCTCTTCCCCTTCCACGGGCATGATATCAAACGCCCACAACAAGTTGGCTACCTGCAGAAAGGCCCCATCTGTAGCAATTCTCTTGCCCTGGCAGATGCGTCGACCCTGCCCAAACACGGGCAGCGGGAGGTCGGACCGTAGCTGAGCCTCTGCGTTGTCGGGGTTATAGTGCAGCAGCCACCTGTCAGGAACGAAGTCGTGGAGATCTCCCAGGGCAGAGTCAAAAATTTGTGCATCTCGGCCCACGGCCCATGCATTGGCCATGACAGTGACGCCTTGGCTGATCTTCACCCCCTGGAGCTCGTCGTCCCGGTCGGCCCGTCGCGGGATGGAACCGGGCGAGATGGGCCTCCAGCGGAAGAGTTCATGAGCAATGGCATCGATATATACCAGCTTCGGCCGGTCGGAGAATCGCGGCGCTCGACCTCGTCCCACCACTGCGTCAAGCACGGCATGCGCCCGGGAAAGAACTATGGGTCGGTGCAGCATCGCAATGAATAACCATAGCATTTGACGAGGGGAAGTCTCCATCCCACCTTGAATAGATGTGGCCAGTGTGAATGCAAGGTCCAGATCTGGTACCGCCGTGTACTTCTCGGCCGTTGCAAGGGCTTGCTTTGTGGCGTTCCAGCTGTCTGAGTCCCTTCCCCGATGAAACAGACGCAAGTAGAGTTCTGATTGGGTTGCGAAGAGCTCATCGGCTGCACGCTTCCAGGGGGAAAGAAATCCAGGCAGTTGACGCAAGGTTGGAATAAGATCTGGTAGGCCGGGATTAGCAGCCAGATGGGTCACTTGGGCCTGAATGCCGATTATCTCCTGCAGAAGTTCGTCTTCGGGGTGGAGGATTCGTAGGCCGTAATGTAAGCCTAGAATAATACTCGACTGAGTGCGTTCCAGGAGGGGATAAATCGTTGCGGTGCTGATGGTGGCGCCATCAGGACATCCGTGGAGAGCATCACACAGGTCACCGAGCAACTGTTTGTTCTCTAGTTCCATTAACGGCTGATATCGCGGCGCTGCGAGGGCCCCGAGACTGGGAGCTAGCAGTCTGTGATGCAGCCTGAGGTGATCATCATAATCATGCATCAGAGTGAATCGAGACTGTCCGGGCTTTGCTCCGGTGATCATCTCCATCATCGCCGAACGCGGCCGGTTGCTATACCACTGGCTGCGGCGACTGAACAATTCAGTGACCGCCTCGTAAGAGTTGAGTATCACGACTGGGACGATCCCAAATAACCTGGAAATGGTGATGGGCCCATTTTGTCTCGCCCAGTCGTCCCAGTTGGCGAGGGGCTTATCGATGGGAGAGGTATGAAGATCCCCGATCAGCGGGAGCTTGAGAGGTGGCCGCTTCTCATCAGTTGCTGCTCGTCTGCTGGGCCGGTGCTGGATGATCATGTATAGCAGAGTCATCAGACCAATGCCGAAGGCCACTACGATGGCTAGGTTGGCAATCATTCTGACGAAGATAGTGCTGCGTAATATCAAACGTTCACGAAGTGAGATAGCAGGGATGACGGACACTGCTTCGGTCCCCGGCAGTTGTGCCGTGTCCCGCCAAAGGGTCCGTGAGCCAAAATCATTGGAGATAGTAATAAAGGGTCTCTTCCCTTTGCCCCCCAGAACTTCAGGATGTCCACCAATGGAAACAGCGAGGCGCACCGGCTGTCTTGGCGCGGTCACATTTAGTCTCAAACTCTCCATTCTTTTGATACATTGTCCTCTTTACATTTCGAGAATTTATCTCCTCTGAGACTAGAATAGAGGTGAAGAAGACATGCACTGGATCATTAGTCGAATAAAATATCAACTATATTATCATGTCGAGTGTAAAGGGTGACAATTTTGACTACTAAGATACTATGGTACAGTCAATGTGGTACAATACGATCGGCTGGCTATGTTTCTCTTATTCCAAACCCCTCGGATGCCTCAACAGCAGGTCCAAGCACTTTGAAAAGCGTGGAAACGCTCAGAGCTTTGCTGTGACAGTGGCGGGAGTAGCTGAAGACAACAGAGAGCACGAATCCGACCGTTTCTGCGCACTGCTTTGCGAAGCTTCCCAGAGGGGGCCACTGGCCTTGCCCCCATACCAGACCTGCCAGGTGGGACTCGCACAACTGCCGCGATATTGGAAGAGAAATTTACCCTCACCATAGGTGATGTCGCTGCTCATGGCCTCATCGCTGTCATCTTTGGACTTGATCGTCTCGTAGTCATATTCCGTCGGTTCCGCTGACAAGCCCAGAACCGAATTGACCTGCGCAGCGATGCGCTTCACTTGCTCTGGATACCGTGGAGCCTGTTTACCCGTCCGCGCTAACGGGGTTCCAATGTAAACCTTAGTGTCAGGGCTCGGATACTTGGACGACCCAGTTAAGCGCTCGTCCTTGAGATTTGTATCGGAGGCCAGATAATCCAGGATCTTGGTCTTGAACGTCTCTTCATCCAAAACCGCTCGACCTTCCTTGACAACAACAAATCCCGGCTTTTGCCACAAATGGGCCTGATAGACGGCATATTTCGACACAACAACTATGACCGTACAGCCTCGGATATTGATCTGGCTGAAATTGAACGGGTCATCACCAAAACCTATAGTTTCCGAGGTAGATTTCATGTTAGAACTATCCTTCGCCAGCAGCTTCCCTTTTCTCATCTCCGTTTGCATCCATTCCAAGTATGATGAGAGCCTACGTATCAGACTCCTATGACCAGACCGCTTGGTGGAACCAAAAGAGGCATCTATATCATTAGACAAACAACTGGAACAGTCTGATCCACAGAGCACTTCGGTTGTGGACGCAGATGCAGACGATGAAGTGGAAGTCTGGGAGTGGGATGATTGCTTTGTGGTTGGTGTGGCTGTATTCTTGGTAGCCTTGCTCGTTGAGGCGGAGTCTGAGTGGCCATGAGACTTGGTGGTGTGAGTACTGGTGACGCCGGCGGAATTTCCCTTCGTGGATGTACGTGTGGAAGTACGATGATCCTCCTCATTACTCGATGTTTTTGAAGAGGAATCGGCCGGCTTTGGGGTGGCAGGCTGCTCACTTGTCGAGGTCTCTTTTGCATTGGTACTAGTAGTAGGCTTCTGTTTTGTTGTTGTGGTAGTGGTGGTTTTGTGTACCTTGGTCATGGTAGTAGTCGAGGTGGTCTCCTTCGTGGTGGTTTTGGTCGTCTTAGTGGTCTTCTTTTTCGTTTTCGTCTTCGTCTTGGTCTTTTTCGAGTGATGATTATGACCTCCTTTGCCATGACTACTGCTTCCCTTGTGGCTGCGAAGGTGCAGCTGATTGACATCCACTGCAGTTGAGGTCTCACCGTCGTCCTCATCCTCCTTGCTGTTGCCATCGCCATTGTCAATCGCCACTGCCGGAGGTTCTGCCGCATAGATGGACGGGATGTTCTCTATAGCAGAAGTAACTGATGTTATAGTAGGGACAGAGGCTCCCAGGGCGCTACCATCTTGATCGACTGAACCGGAGTCAGCGATAACTCCACTAGCCCACAGGGCAAGAAGCAAAGCCCGTTTCAAGCCAACCGCCATTATAGAAGACCAGGAATGAATGACTATGGTTGTCAAATGGGCCACTGGCTGGATGAATCTGCTTTTTATATCGTGATTTGGTGCCGTCTGTACGCGCGGGATTTTACACGCAGATACCACTTTCAGCTATGCATTTCCTGCCCCCACGAGACGGATGCTGAATTGGTGGAAGGAAGGCCTAGCGTCACCCTTTAAGATGCAGCGTAGGAAGTGGACCACCAAGTCCTTCATTATACTGACTGGCCACTCGACCAGCGACATGGCCGACATTGCTCTTTGGCCCCCGGCAGCATGCTTAACCACATCTAGCCTGGAATCTTTGCTCACGATGCCGAAAGGTCGATGGCTGTAGCCGCTGCAGCCCCCACGCCTAGTTTCTCCACCGCATCATCCACCGCCCCCCGGGCCTTCATCAGCCGCCGCTCACGGATTTGACAAACCTAACAAGTCTCACTCCCTCGCCATCCTCACCATCCTTTCAAGAATCTGTTCCATCTGTTTCATCACGCACAATGTCACATCTATTTCAGGTGCTGGAGGAGGCTAATAAGCCCTTCTTGGAGAGCTGCCGTCACGGTGATTTGGCCCAAGTTAAGAAACACCAGGAGGCCAAGGCTCTAGACCGAGAGGTTCTGACCATGGGCTTGAGGGAAGCTGCCCAGGGCGATCACATCGACACTATGCGCCATCTACTAAATGCTGGCGCCAAACCCCAGTCTCCCAGCGTCGTGGATGAAGTACACTCGGTCGAGGCAGTCAAGGCCTTGCTAGAACACGGTCTTACTTTTGAGACTCGGCTACACCCCCTTAATACGGTGCCACTTGTGTGGGTATCCTTTGCTTCCCTGTTGGTGATCACGTGGACTAACCAAAAGAACAGACACCTTGTGAAGAGGAACGATGTACGGCTCGTTCACTGGTGCCTTGAACAAGGTGCCGACCCCACCTTCGGCTGCCCGAATGCCCAGTCATTCAATGACCTTGAAAAGCCTGATCAGTCTCCTAAGAAGGGCTCAGGGGCAGTTCTTGGTATGGCCTCCCGCCGAAGTAGCCCGGAGATTGTTGACCTCCTTCTCGATCATGGTGCCAACATCCACAGCAGTAATGTGTTACATTATGCTACATGTAGGAAGGATGGACGAGCCTTACCAATCATGGACCACCTGCTACGGCGTGGGGCCGACGTGAATGAATTTGGCTATCCTGCATTCCTACATTTCGGCGGCACTCCCCTTCATGCGGCCAGCTACCAGGGAAATCTTCCGGCCGTGAAGTGGCTCCTGGAGCATGGTGCAGACCCCGGCGTGGAAGACGCCCAAGGTAGTAAGCCGCTTGATCTAGCAGCTTTAGAGGAGGAAGACGAAATATGTGATGTTCTCTATGAATGGACACGATTGGACGACACTGGTAAGGCTGACTACCGGCGGTAGCTCAGGCTAGCCGAAAGCGAACAGCTCCAGGGCATGACAGGGTCAGCCCCTATTGTCTTAAGGTCTGTGATGGACAAGGAACAAAGCATTAAGAGCCCTTCCCGCTCATGTGCGCATTGCTGTATTTTTTTTATACATCTCCATCCTACGACTATTCCAACCCTTCGGCATCGATATTGGAACGTAGCGATGGCACTTATGTACCACAATATCACAAATCACTCCGACTTTTCCAATAGCTCGGCTTACTCTTCATCGACTTGTCTGTAGGTACTTCCCGTGCTGCTGCAAAAGGTACGTGAGATATTATTGCTTAATATGGATGTTCTTATTAGGACACGAGTTGTAGCTAAGCAGCATTCAGATTAGCTAGCCTGATCGGCCGGAACATGGATATATTTGCAACCGCTAGTACACTTTCGCGTCTGCCTGGAATTAGTGCTGACTTCAGCCCCGCTATCAAGCTTTCTCAGCCCTGTCAGCGACTCGCTCGACCTTCTGCTCCTGGTGAAGGGTTCCTTGGTGATCACATTTCCAGTCTGGAGATTAGCCGACTGGACAAATCAGGTTGTGGTTGATACCGCCCCCATGTTGCATCACCCACCACGCTTCACTGGGACGAACCACGCCAGCGACAATGTTGAACCGGCAACTCCACGCTTGTTCGGGATAAATTCGGTATCACAAGTGAATTATTGATGCCGCATGTTCCGTTGAGGTGGTTTCCAGGTTAGATAAACCTGGAACTTGTGGGCGTTACTGCACTCACTCAGCATGACCCACGCAGCATATGTTAGGTCAACTACGGGGGATAGCTCCATCATCATCGAAAGGATGCTGGTATAACTTTCATACACACGGAGTAAAATTGGAGCCATTTTGCGGTTCCCCATCGATGTCATTGTCATTGCCCGGGTCTTGCCATGGCACCCACGTGAGTATTGCAGGCTCTCTTACCTACCGACATCGCCCTCACATGACATGAAGATAGCAAGCTCTAGGTTAGCGATGTCTCTCATAAGTCTTATAATATCGACCGATAGTGATCACTTCAAGTACTATCTGTCGGGACGGCACCCTGGATCGTCAAGTTGCGCTGCTGCCTGAGGCCACCATATCATTGTGTGGGTGAAACAAGCCAGCGATTGATGAATATGCCCATCTCTTGCTGATAGCCCATCACTTTATCAGATAACTTATAGTGATGCTGGATACATTTTAGCTGATAGAGAGTTGTTTATGAAGTGCTGGCAGGCTCAATGCTAAACCACATAGTATGTTAAGGAACCAGAAGTGACGCTACACACCTCTAGAGTCACTTTTTCCCTGGGGTCTTCTGCTGATTTTATAGTGGTATTGACGATTCCAACACGATGATGATACTTTTTTATCTTCTGGGTGTGGGGTCAAGGTAGATGGTGGTTGTGACGCTTCAATGATCGCCGTGTGCCTCCAAGGTACTTCCAAGGACCCTGTTGCATCCATCTCGCTCCCTTTAAAGCATACGCGACCGCGCCTGGCCGTGGCCCTTTCTCCTTGTACCCCAAAAGAATGAACACAATGTTAGAGTCTACTTCAGAGCAGATGATGTGCAAGCCTTCCCGTTTATCTACTCTTCCGTTGGAGATGGTTGAGAGGATTTGCCAAGAGCTTGCAACGCAAGATTTGGCCGCGCTCCGAGGGACTTGCCGCGCCGCTCATCTCCTCACCAACCGGTGTTTTGCGCAACGGTACGCGGAGTACTACACAGACTTCTCCGCACACTCTTTAAACCACTTGCATGCGCTGGCCGAGAACCGGCTGATACGAGGCTATATTCAACACCTGGTAATTCTGAGTCCAGAGCCGAGACTGGGGGAGAACATGGACTGGCACTGGACGGCTGCTGGCCACCTCCGATGTCCCCTGGACATGCCCTTGATCCGGCGGCTGCGGGATGATCTGACACAGAAATTGGTGAACTGCCGATCGTTTATCCTATCGCCCATTCTGTCAGAACCCCAAAGTAAGGCGGACCTCCACGACAGCCCGACCTTCAATCCCGACGATGTCGCATGCATCCTCCTTGACCTCATCGCGGACGCCTCTCTTCCGGTTAAACTCTTTTGGTATGGCAAGGGCATGAATTACACCTCCAAAGTCATGGATATTGCGCGTCTCCCAAAGTCACTCTACAGCAATGCCGTCTTTCGGACGGGCTGGAAGTCCTTAGAGAACCTGCACCTAGAGCAGGAACTGACCCCCCAGAACTATACTTTTGTGATGGACATGATCCTCAGTGCGACTGGTCTCCGCAAACTACATCTTGGCCTCGGATACACCGATCTCGCCGTCGAGTTCTTTTCGCAATTGAGTGCGTCCATTGCAGCTCTAGATCACCTGGAACGGATCAGTATCTGGGGAACTTCGATGCAAGCTGAAGATCTCATTCGCCTTCTCTGTAACTCGCAAACAAATCTGAAGAAGCTTAGTCTGCGATCAGTGACGAGCTTGACGTCGCAGTGGTTAACGTACCTCTGTCAGCATCGTGACCTATTTCCATGTCTGACTACCATTGACTTGAGTATGATCCATGGACCTTCTGGTATGTTGTCTTTTACGCCAATGCAGAACTTGCCTCCGGAGCAGAAGAACATGTTTGAACTTGAGCCTTGTGTCTACGAGGATCTCCCAGACACAGGTGGAAAGGCAGGCGATATAGTCGGTATTTCCTATAGTGGTTCTGATATTAGGACGGCATTGAAAGCGCTGCTAGAAGTGTGTGGCGAGCCTTCTGTTCATCAATGAGGAATGATGGTGGTGTTGTGGCGATGGGGTATATGCGTACAAGAATACCCAAAGTGGATTTTTGTTCAATTTTCTTGCACTGCTTTATTCAAGATGCCATGTCATACATATAAGAACTGAAATAATATACACATACGCCTGGAGTTGTTTGCGAGTCAAGACAGTAGATATTGGTGTCAGAAATGCCCCCAGACGATTGTTAGTGCCATTATTGGTTGCCTGCGCTAGGGATACATTTCCTTTCGCAGGTGATTCTCGAGTGCGGAACACCACGAATAGCATATGGTAGATAGTTTTCCACGAGATAATTCACTCAATTCAATTTGTCAATTTTGATGGGGTAGGATGTCCATACTAGATATAGCATCGTCCTCCAGCAACATTTGGGGAATGCGGATGACGGTTCAGGGCAAGCTACGCTTCTGACCAGAGCGCACGGAATCTGCCGATTGATCACTTGAAATTTCATCCTTGGATAAATTTATTGTGAGGCAGAACGTTTATCTCATTGGATATTTCAAAAGGGGGTGAAAGGTCAAAATGTCAAAGATACTATAGCATCTGCTTGTGGCATACCACGCAGGTCGTAATGCGACGGGGTCCCTGAAGGACTCCAACAAAATATCTACAATGGTAGGAGAGTGCCGGGGAAGGTCCAGCATGCCATACAGGTGTAGAGATAGGAGAAAAATAAATATTATCTATTACAGCTGACAAGATAAATATGATGCTAGGACAATAGTATCGGCTTCCGAGCCTGAGGGGAGCGTATGGCTACGACGGAGGATGGCTGACTGCTTACACAGAGACGCACGTTATTGGTGATGATTGAACTGATATTGTAGTTACATTTATGGTTTGATGTCTAGAAGATCACCTGCTCAAAGGCATGCTGCAATCCGCGGGCCTGTAGCCACGCCTCCAGGGCCTGCATATCCCCCCGGTTGGCTCGCTGCCCGCTGCGTTCTCCCAGGGAATCCGTAATCTCCTCCATCCCCTCAAATACCCGCTGCACCCCTTCCGTCTCGCGAAATCGTTCGCTGACTTTTTTCTGATGACTGGGAATATCCCCCCAGGAATGCGTTTTGATGAAGCTCATGTACGCATCGATATTCTGCGATGTCCCCTCCAGGCACAACACGCCTGGTTTGCCCGCCAACACAAATCCAGTGAGCCCATAACCTGGCGCGTGATGCACCAGGTCATCCCGCTTCTTGCGCGTAGATAGGGAAGGAAAGTAGAACCAAACCCGCACCAGATGCCCTGACCCTGACTGACTCGGTGGGAGGTTCACCGGCTCTGTTGGCTGGGCTTCTAAAAACCGCGTCGCTTCCTCACGAACATGGTCCAAGGCCGTAAAGACGTCGTCCTGCGGCATCGTAGCGGCCAGCGCAGCGACCTCGGCCTTGGACATCCAGTCTGGTTGGCGCAGTGTATACTTCGCCGGGGGTGGCTGATCTAGTGCAGGGTCATCATGGTACAAGGGAATGGAGACATTGACCTGGATTGTCTTCCCGCCGTCCTCCAGCGGCAAACACACTCCCAGCAAGAGGCTGGCAGGGATTCCCATCGGCACGGTCGATGGATCTTGACACCAGTCCCGTAGTTGATCCACACATTGCGATGTAGATTCGGGCAAGTCCAGCTCGCCCGGGCCCGGAAACATGGCCGTGAGAAGATCAATGATAGCCAGCTGCGACTCTATCATATCCGCGGGTAGGAGAGACGATCGTTGTGCCGCCATCGTTGGAGCGATTTCCCACGGCGGTGCTCTCCAAGGGGCGTTATTGGAGGTGTGATACTCGAAAAGAATTGTTTGCACAGCACATTCAATTCCCAGAGTATGGTGTATTATTCATGTATCTTGTAGACGGATTTCCTCTCTTGGACCTCTCTGTTCACGTTCAGCGACGGTGTTTTTCGATGGATCGCCGGTGCCGGCCATCAAAACTGGGGCAAGAAAGGGGGGTCGGCGATTGGCTCTCTCGGGCCGAGTTTCGGGGATACATAACGTAACCGGCAAGCGAGTCGGCCAGGCAAGCCAGTCGGCCACCTGTGTATCCCATACTAATCTAACATTTATCTAACTCTAATATCTCACCCACCGTAAGTTTAATTATAACAAAATATTAACTGAAGCTATATATATACTTTAAGAAACCAACTATCAAAATATATAATATAATAGGATTCATATTATATATAATACGAGTTTGAAATAAATTACCAAAAAATACAGTGTAATATATTTTACTTGATTTAATATTGATATTTATCTTATAATATTTATATACCAATCTTAGATATATTCTAGTATGCCAGTTTTATTAGATAAATTTAAATTTATAAAGTTTGGCTGTAGTATTACAGCTCGAAAATTGCTGGATTAGTATGGGATATACAGGTGGCCGACTGGCTTGCCTGGCCGACTCGCTTGCCGGTTACGTTACACAATATGACTAATCATGCTTCCCAATCAATCACTTTGTCGATTATTGTGAGCACTACTATTGTGTAAGTACATCCTAGAGTCACGGCTCCTAGATGAATTTTTGAATGATCATGCTCAAAATAGTTTGCTCACACTATTGTTCCCAGCTTGTTTATCTGACGTTAACTATTTACGTGATCACCCTTCAAGAGGGCCAGTGTACGACGACGGTCCTTGGCCATCAAGGGTACCCACCAGCATCTCTCACAAGTTGGCTTGATCAGACGAGGCAATCCAGTCATATTTATCCCCCAGGTACTTCTGGGCCCGTAGATCTCCCGAGCGCGCATGGCCCTCAAATTGCTCCGCCCTTGCAGCTCGACCACACAGCCGACCCAGCTCCCCACTGGCGGTGCTACTAGTCACTTCCTGGTAAGTCACCGTGCGCAGATACTTGCCCACCCAAAGACCTCCTGTATACCGCGCTGCCTTTTTGGTGGGTAGGACATGGTTCGTTCCGATGACCTGTTTGAAAAATAGCATACGTTAGAAGCAGCCTTCCAAATTTCCATGTAAGCTTTCCTATGGCGGAATCCAGACCTTATCGCCATATGACACGCATGTCTTTTCCCCCAAGAAAAGCGCTCCATACGCTGTCATCTTCTCTAGTGCCTCACGAGGCCGCTTGGTGAAGATCTGCACATGTTCACTCGCATACTCATCCGCCAGTCGCCACGCCTCGTCAAGGGAGTCCACCAGGATGGCTTCCCCGAACCGGTCCCACGATGTGCCCGCCAGCTCGCGCGTGGATAGATTCGGAAGCAGCTGATTGATGATGTCGATGGCCGCCCGTCCCATGCGCTCCGAGGTCGTGATGAGCACAGCTGGCGAATCCGGCCCATGTTCAGCTTGTGACAGAAGGTCGGTCGCTACCGTGAATGGATCGGCCGTCTCATCGGCGACGATCAGAATCTCCGTCGGGCCTGCGAAGAGGTCGATGCCCACCTCGCCAAACAACTGCCGCTTCCCCTCCGCAACAAATGCATTTCCCGGTCCCGCGAGGAAGTCCACTTTTCGGATGGTCTCTGTGCCCACCGCCATCGCCGCGATCGCCTGAACCCCGCCAAGCAGATGAATTTCATCGGCTCCAGCCAGATGCATCGCGGCCACCGTGGCATGGGGGATCTGACCGGCAATTGGGGGAGTACAGCCAACCACATAAGGCACACCAGCCACCTTGGCCGTCAGAATCGTCATGTGGGCGGATGCTAGCAGCGGGTAGCGTCCTCCGGGGATGTACCTGGTGTCATCGATAAGTATGGGGTTCAACAATTAGAAGTTGGGTTATCACGTACGCTCCAACGCTGTTGATGGGAAGGTTTTTCTGGCCCAGGTGCACTCCCTTGAACTGGTCAGTGTCGCATTCACAGGCATATGTTTCATTTCATTTTCACAAGCTGGATGGGCTTACCGGCTGGATCTCATACTCAAAATCGCGAATAGAGTCTCGCTGGGCCTGCGCAAAGGCACGAACGTTTTTCTGCACCTCCTTGATGTCGGCAATCGTTTGGGGCGAACAGGCTGCCAGGGCAGCATCTATATCATTCTGGGAGAGCTTGAACGAGGCTGGCGACCAGCGATCAAATTTCTCCGAGTACTTGCAAACTGCTGCATCTCCATTGGCACGAACGTCGTCGATTACCCCCTTTACAACGCTACTCACGTCCACCTGAGGTGTCGCAGTTGAGTTCGGGGGTTGAGACTTGCTTTTCAAGTATCGGACCGTCATGTTGAAGTCGTATCAACTATTTGATCAAGGTAATCAAGAATATGGGGAGAGACCTACAACTACCATCGGACAATGGCTTGCTTATATGATGAATAGCCACGGTAAGTAATGTTCATACAACTCTATCGGCTCCACTCGGCGGTCCGCAACAGCCTTCGGAAGTCGGCCAGAAGTCCGAGTATAGGTCAGTGCATTCCCTTCACAAACTAAGCAATTGACGAAAGGGTGTGATATGAGGAGGAGTAAGGCCGTCGGACTCAGCCGGAGGACCTGGTAATTCATGTAATGGCACATGCTTCCGAATTTCTTTTGCGTTTGGTGGTACTCTCACAGATAGTCCGTCACAGAATCCGCGTTTCTAAAGGCTTCTTCCACCGCGATCTACTCTTGCAGACTACTAACCCATATCGTCTCTTAAAAAGTCTGTCGCTCTTTCCCCACTCATATGGGCATAGATTGCCCCTCTTGGTGATCCTTGTTCCCGTCCCCGTGGGGTGGAGCCGAGGTTTTTCGGCACAGAAGGTACAACCTTCACCATTTGAGGCGGAACTTCAACCCGACATCATTGTGAATGTTGCTGAACACGATTCCTATGTGTTTCATCCATTTTGGACAATGGGAGGGAAAAGCGCTATTTTCAATTCACGTTACATGATCTTTAACGTTGAAGTAGGTAATGTTGCATCATCTACAGTTAGCCTGTTGAAGCCAATGATGATCCTTTACGACAAGACCTCCTATAATGCGACTTGGCTGTGACATTTGACACGGGCATAGGTGCATCTTTATCGTACAAATTACCGGATGAAGCCGTTCTGCTTGTGTGGTGATTTCTGTTTCAGATAGCTTTATGCCAAGGGTGTGACATACAAACATTCTCATTTCATTGACTTCAAGCTTCCGTAAAGTTGGGTGAGGGAAATTACGTAAGTATACGACTCAAAGTACCGCTCTATGTCAGCATCAAATGGTGCTCATCAACATTTTCACAGTGATTCCATAGGCACGCCAACTTGCATGGCGTGGCAAATATAAATAGAGAAGATTAGTTATCTGGTACCATAGTCTAACCCTGTCATGCTCCACATTTTAGCCCAGTTACATGACTTCATGGGTTACAGAAGCATGAAGGGCATTCCCCAAATCTGTCAGGTACGGGTCGCTGTCGACCTGTCGTAAACCCCGGGGTACCACTTTTCTCCTTGTACACGAGACCTTCGCATCGTCTGTTAACATTCATCGTCATACTGGCCATAACCACAATTTCCCATTGATCTTATTAGGTTGAGCTAGCCGGCATCATACTGCTAAGCTTGCCAGAAAGGGCAGGCTAGGCGGCTTTCGAGAAGGCCTCGGCCTTACCCAGGGCTCACACACCGCTGACCCTTCCATGACTTTGTACCATGTCCAAGGTGTTAAAGCTGATATAGAGAAGATCGTTGCCGGTCACTCTCTCTGCTATGCTGACATCGCCCGATGCCCGATATTATAAGGCATCGATCTGAGTTATGCCTTTTGCTCAAAATCTTAAAAATTTCTCGAAGAGGAACAGATACTGATCAACAATGAGCTGTCTCCGCAATATGTGAAGCAAATGTGGCCGTCAATTGAAACCAATAGCAGTACTTCTGCTACATCTATAAGCCTATCATTCAACTCATCGGGTAGTGAACATATATCTTGGACTCTGCTTTTCAAACTTCAGGGGCTGTCCGCATGCAAACTACTGAGTTCGGTGGATACTACTAGTGATCTTTGCCTATCATATAAGAGATATGATTCGATTATCTCACATCATATTAAGCTGTCTGGCTTGTCCACTGTATCTCGAATACCTTATCTTCCCGTTTCCCTATCTTTCGCTGATCATTTCTCGGCAGTTCCTCGGATGGGAGCCGGGCACGTGCATGATGACTGTCATGTGACTACAGCAGAGGCTCTGGCTCACCGACCAATCGGAAGGGCGGGAAAGCAAACTTACGCAAAAGAAACTCCTCACGGGCCGAGGAACCCCTCACCCCTCATGAGGGGACAAGCCCTAAACTGGTTAAACTTGGCCCGAGTTATCTAATTTATACTGTTAGCAGTTAGATCTGGCCCAGCGGGTGTCGAGCTGTCACCAACCGTCGGGTCCTAGATACGGCCTCATCCACTTTTGGCGCTAAAGGGCGGCCGGGAGGGAAAAATTTTATCTTGGGGGCTTTCCAGCGTCAGGATGTTTCTTTTTATTTCTGTCTTCAGTGACTCTTTTCTTCCTCTTCTCGTGTGCACCGTGAACCCCATCCCTCAGAGCCGGCTCTGTGGACATCTTCTTTGACCCCCTTTGGATCCTCCTCGCGGATAGCTTTACTAGCGCATCCTCCCTTATACCCGGAAACTTTAATCTCACGTCCATCATCATGTCCAAGCCCGTCTACACCCTTGCCGAGGGTAGGTGACACGTATCCTTTCTCTCATCTGTCCAATGTCTCCTCTAACGATGTGCCTCCAGGTCAACCCCTGCCCAACCCCTCCGTCAGCACCACCCTGCCGACCTTTGGCGGCGGTGCCATCACCACCTTGGGTGATACCTTGCTGATCGAGACGTTGACCCATTTCAACCGGGAGCGGATTCCGGAGAGGTACGGCCGCCCTTCCGGCTGACCCACCGCTCATCGGCACTTTCGTCCACTAACCTCGTCAATTCATTCAACAGAGTTGTTCACGCCAAGGGTAATGGTGCCTGGGGTGAATTCCGCGTCACCAAGGACATCTCCCACCTCACCCACGCCAAGTTCCTCAACGGAGTTGGCAAGACCACCAAGGTGCTTTTCCGCGCCAGTACCACCGGTGGTGAGAAGGGTAGCGCAGATACCGTGCGTGATGTGCACGGCTTCTCCGTCAAGTTCTTCACCGAGGAGGGCAACCACGACATTGTCGGCAACCATGTGGTAAGTTGACTCGTTTCTCGTGGACCTCTGAGACATCGTCTCACCTGTAGTAGCCCGTCTTCTTCGTTCGTGACCCCGTTCGCTTCCCCTCCCTGAACCGGAGTCACAAGAGGCACCCTACCACCGGTCTTCCCGACATGAACATGGTAAGTTCAACCTCTTTAGACCACCATCTTGATTGTCGACCTTGCCGAATTAACTGGGTATCTAGTACTGGGATTTCCACAGCAACCAGCCTGAGAGTGTCCACACCCTGATGCACGTCTTCGGCTCCCGCGGTCTGCCCCAGTCCGCACGCCGCATGACCGGCTTCGGTATTCACACCTTCAAGCTGGTGGGTCACGACGGCAAATTCCGCTACTGCAAGTTCCACTTCAGACCTGTGCTGGGCTCCCACAACTTCACCCCCGAGGAGGCCACTCGCATGGCTGGTGTCAACCCCGACTTCCACAACGAGGACCTCTTCCAGGCCATCCTGCGCGGTGACTACCCCAAGTGGAAGTTCTACATCCAGGTGATGGAGCCCGAGCAGGCTGAGACCTACGGCCGCGCCGTCTTTGATATCACCAAGGTGTGGCCTCACAAGGACTTCCCTCTGATCGAGGTCGGCGAGATGACTCTCAACCGCAACGTAAGTAGTGTTTTAAGCAGTCCTACGTTTCTATTAGTGCCGCCGTGCTAATGATGGCCGATCAGCCCGAGAACTTCTTCGCCGAGATCGAGCAGGCCGCTTTCTCACCCTCCAACCTGGTGCCGGGTATCGCCGTGACCCCTGATCCTAGTAAGCTTTCTCCTTCCAAGTTGTGTGATGTAGATGATGAGTGGAACTAATCCTCTGTAGTGCTCCAAGCGCGTATGTTCGCCTACCCCGATGCCCAGCGGTACCGTCTGGGCGTCAACTACACGCAGCTGCCGCCCAACCGGGCCATCTGCCCCGTGTATGCGCCCTACGAGCGTGACGGTCTGGCCACCATGGGCCGCAACTACGGTGGCGACCCGAACTACATCAAGAGCACCCTGACCCCTGGCGTGTTCAGCCAGTCGGTGCAGGAGGTGCGCCACCACGAGTGGCTGCGCTCCGGCGCGGTGCTGGGTCTCAACGAGATCCCCGTGGACGACGAGGACTTTGTGCAGCCCCGTGCCTTGTGGAACAATGTGTTCGATGAGGCCGAGCGCAGCCTGTGGGTGGACAATGTGGCGGGAGCCCTGGAGGGAGTTGTGCCGGAGATTCAGAAGGCCACCATTGCCATGTTCAGCCGGGTGGAGCCGCAGATTGGTCAGAGGTTGGAGGCCAAGCTCAAGAGCTCTTCCCGCTTGTAAGTGGAAAGCGGGGAAACTTATTTGACCATAGATGTATCAATGATAGACGATAGACAATATAGAGAGCCATTCGAACAAGGAAGTTATGCTTCAATCTCATTCGGGTGGGGACAATGATGGTCCCGTGACCTCACCCCGCATAACCCCGCCAGTTTAGTTTACCATAACTGCGATCTGACAAGGATCAACAGCTTACTACCGAGTACTCAGCCATGGCAGTGCAAAGTCTACTGGATTCTCCCCGAAATCATCATGACAGTCCAATGGACAATTCTTCTCAACTCCCGGAACCGTCGATATGGTCCGATCGGGCCGTGCAGGAAGCATGCTTGATGCGCTACTTTGTTGAAGAGCTGGCCCCCTGGGTAAGGTCTACTCTCGCAATCCTCAATAGCAACACGGCCCCTGAAAATGTTGGATGCAGTTCGATTCCTGCGATGCTGGTAAACATTTTGCCCTTGTAATGCCCGATCGCGCGGCCCAGTGTCCAGCCTTGCTGTACGCTGTCTACTCGGCCGCTGCACGACACCTCGGCCGCTGGCAATCCACGGGGACCCGCCCGGTCGCCTTCGCGGGGAGACATCTCCCCAATCTTGGGGATGGCATGGCCCTTGACTACCAGTCCCTCTGCATTTCCCATTTGGTGTCAGCAGATGACGCCGAGATCCACAACGTGGATCTGCTGGCAGCGTCCGTCATCCTGCGTTTCTACGAGGAATTCGACGGTTAGTCAGTTCGTTCAACTGCATTATAGTTTGGATTGCTAACAGGCAGGGACCACAGCGGCCCTGGCTGGCGTTGACGGGAAAACCCATCTGCGTGGCACCCAAGTGTTCCTCAACGCTCAGGGCCACGCTGCATTGCGCTGTGGCGGACTCCAACTTGCGGCCTTTTGGGTTGGCATCCGACAAGAATTTCACAAGGCCTTTCTCGAACAGCGTGTCGCCGAGCTCGATCTGAGCTGCTGTGACGGGTCTGTCTATCGACAGTTGGATTCTACAGACGATGCCACCTGGGCGAATCGAGTGGTGCTGCACTGTGTCGATGTGCTCCGGTATTGCTATGGCGAGGAAGGTCAGACTCGGTGGCAATATGAGGAACTGTGTGCCTACAACCAGCAATGGCAAGCTCGGACTCCGCCTACCTTCGACCCCTTGTATTGTCGACCTCCGAACACTGCCAAGGGGGAGATATTTCCCGTTCTGTGGTATTTGGATGACTGCATCGGTGAGGGCTAGACTTCAAAGGTCAGAAGAATCGATACTGATAACGCTTACAGTCACCGGCATTCAACATTGGCACCTTGCACGTCTTCTCCTGGCCGTATTCGACCCTACAGTGCCCCGCCTTGGGCCTGGTCGTAAGGCAGCCATCGCACGAAGAGAGGTATTCCATGTACAACTTCGCCAGTATTCGAGTCCGATCGCTAACTGCGATAGGCCGAGGTCAAGCACCATGTGTTAAGTCTTTGTGGGATAGCCATCTCTAACAAAACCGCTCCAGCACTCATTTCCGCCTGCATGGGAGTATCCATGTGTATGCTGTCTATTCTTCATGGCAAAGGGATTTTCTGACTGACTAATGATTTCAGGCGGTGACCGCATGACCGATAGACGGGAGCAAGAGGCCCTGTTCGATATCTTGCTCAAGACCGAGCAGATCCATGGACTAACTACCACCTATGCACAGAATAGTCTCCGGGCGGCCTGGGAATGGGATACTACAGTCTCGCCCGACATCTGACAGGGTTCTTCGTGCACGGAGTTGCTCTTGATTCCCAGAAACGCACCTATGGTTGCGTCGTCACAATTGGGTGATTGTAAACTGTAAATCAGCTCTGTTGCACCTCTTGAAACCTTAAGAGCCTCTACCCCACCCAATAACCCTGCACTGGTGTGCAGGATAGCTTCAGGTCGACTCCACGGTACTGCGCCGATGATCTGCTGTCAATATCGTCTCAGTGGCCTTGCGAGACTTTTCGTCGATGTGATTGCTAATATATCGGCCATATCACCCCGCAAAGTCATCGGTTGAACGCCACATAGCATTTCTCTCAAGTGCTCTGCGAGCATGTGAGACTCGGATCTGAAGTTCAAATGTACTAGGTTTAAACCTTCCAGTCCACCCATCGTAGTCACATTGTCAACAGAACAGCCCCGACCTGCTCCAACTCAGCCATTCCCAGCCCTGCACCAGCATTGGCCAGTACACATAGCTCTTTAACTTTGACTTGGCCTTTATACTTCGCCCACGATAGTCTCGTTACACTATGGCAAACCTCTGCCCAGAGGATCAATGGCAGGTAACCTGCGCATCATCCACGGTCCTCCAGACAATGGTGTGACGATTATGACACACTGCCCATGTTCGCAGCAGGGTGCAGATGGTTCGACTAGCTATATAAAGCATGTGCTTATCACAGGTCCCACATACCCTTGGGTGTGTGCCCTTCAGATGCCCTTGTACTTGAGCAGCTACACTGCAACCTGCATCTACAGCTATTCAGCATGTCTAGTTTCTTGGCCTGGGCCTTGACCGTCCTTACAACCACGGCATTTTTCAAGCACGCCTACGGTTACCCAGCCCTCCAGCCGAGTCTACTGCAACCACCGGTCACTCCTGCCCTGCCTCATCTTACGCCACTGCCACCTGACGATGTTGAATACACCCTCGCGGACAATGATAAATGGCCAGCCACCAGCAGCCTAGGCATCCACTACGGTGAATGCTACTATATCAAAGACGTCAACAGCGGCAAGACACTCGGCTCGGATGGCGGCGTATACAGTTACTACAAGTTCGGAAGTGCACGACGAACCTTCCAAGTGTGGAACACACGGTCATTCCCAAGCCCCGCCGATACAGATTGGAAGTATGCAGTGCATGATGGCGGCAAGTTCTTCCTGTGGGATCCGCAGGGCAGTACCCAGACGAATGGGGGCAGTTGGGTAGCGACCAATCTAGGCGGCTACACCTATCCCGGCTTCGGCGGGTACTGGTACTATCTGCATTTCAAGGGATATCGGGCGCATACGCGGCCTCATCGGGGGACAGCTGTGACGTTGGGGATTGCTCAGGTTGAGCCTCCCTCTCCGTTGCCGAATCATCGCGGTCTCAAGGTCTCGGGTGATTATGTATTGAATGAGGACAACGAAGATACTATCGATGTTATCTTCGTGTCGACAGGTTGCCATGATGATGAAAATGATGTCGTCGATGTGTAAATGGAGGCTAAGTGAGCCTTGCAGCCAATCAATGGTGTGGCACGTATGGGTGCACCCGAAGGAACAAGACTGGCTCTCTGCAGCTCCCATAATCATGTTGCCCTGAAAAGTTTGCTCCGCCGAAGGAAAGTTCACTGCCAGAAAGCCAAAATTGATTTCCGAAAGATACGTGCCAGATTTCCCATGGGCTGTAACGATGCCCATCAACAATCCGAAAGTTTGAGGGAATCCAGCCCAGTCTAGATCCAGCCTAGTCAAATATAGATATTATGAAGGTGATACATTTTCCAAATTACTCGTGAACATCGTCATCAACTCGCTCGGTCATCATCTTCACTCGTCGAACTCATCATCCATGTATTGGTCCCCCTGTGCCTGCATCGCCTGCATGAGCATCGCCTGGAATATGCTGTTCCCCCCTTCGCGGAGACCCAGTAAGCCATATTCGTCAGTCATATCGTAGGGGTCATCATCAGAGTAGTCGTCGAGGTCGGAGTCGCCAGCGATATTTTGCGGACAGTCCGGATAAGGCAGGATGTCAAAATCGACGGACGTATCTTTAAACATGTCCTTGATGCTAGTACAACACTGCTCCGGTGTCTGGCCAAATGGGATCTGCTGACCCGGGAGTTTGATGGGGTCGGTGATATCCACGGCGAGCATCTTGACGCTCTTGAGTGCGGGAAGGCGTCCCTGGCGACGCTCCTGTGCCAGATGCTCGGCCAAACCTCGGACGGAGATGTTACAGTCCTCGACGATGAGCTTTTCGAGGGTGGGAGGGAACTGGGGCTGCGGTGGCAGGAATGCTTGCTGGACGGTCAGCCGCCGGAGCACGGAGAAGTCGCCCAGCGGGCCGATCTTCGCCTGGCGGGCCACATAATCCTGGATGTTCTCTCGCTCCCAGGGTTCGCGGTTCCAGGTCATTGTCAAGCCTTCTAGGGTGTCCTTGTGGGGTAGGAGCGCGGCGCTTAGTTCGGGAGCGGTGGGTTCGCGAACGGGGCGGAGGTTATGAGGCTGGTCCTCGGGGTCCGTGGTAAAGTTGTCGTAAGTGAATGAGGTCACTGTGCGGCAAGCACGGAGTAACTTGGTGACAGAGGGGGCATCTCAATATGGCAGAGGTGTAGGCCGATCCGGCTCATGGTCAGAAACTGTGGAGTCCAGCAGGCGGGGAACAGGTCGTCACTGAGGTGGGCTTCTTCAATATCTATCGAGCGTAACTGGAGCCGACTGATCATCTCCTCATAAATAGCGAGCGGGTAGCCCTTGAGGAGGTCGTCGCCCTCGAACCACAGGTCCCCAAGTTTCGACAATATGGCAGGATGGCGCTTCCAAGCTTGTTCGAGTGGCTTCATGGCAAAGTAACCTCCCGCCAATGTCAACATGCGGAGGTTTGGGGCTTTCAGGATAAGCAAGACGACCATAAGACTGTAGTCGAACTCTTCTTCCTTCAAGACAGTCATCCAGTCGCGCTCGTCCTCCTTGTCCAAGCGGAGATCACGTATGGATGAGGTAAAGAGCTTTCGGTCGTGGGCGGTTAGAGGCTGCGGGCTTTTATGAAAGACATGATGATCGTGGTCCGGAAGAACGGAGAGGCTGCGGATATGTTCGCCAAGACTGGGGCGGCGGAGGACGGCACGGGTGATGGAAACGAGGTTTCGCAGATCGCCAGGGAAGCCAGACAAGTCAACATGCTCGAACAGCAGGGGCTGGGCGAGTCCGCGGAACAAGTGGCACACCCGACACAGATTGTACAAATCGATGATTTCCTGGGTCTGTGCGCTCACTCCCTTGCCATTGTTCCCCGGATCCTCCTCATCAGTCTCATCAGTCTCATCATCTTCATCCTCGGCGACCCAAG